CCCTCATTCTTCTTTGAGAGAAGAAGTCAGAACCTAGTGTTAAAGGGCCTTTTAACTTTAAATTACCTCATTTAATATTCTGAGCTAACCATTGACTCTGTCATTAAAACAATTGAATTAACAGCCAATTGATGAACTGGGCAATGAGAAGGAACTCCTCTGAAAAGAGTTTGAGTTCTTATTCAAAACTTGCATTCTGATGGCTGCACAATTCAATTCCTTTGTCTGGGATCCAATGGACCCATGACAGTACTCAGGATAAATTTTAGGGGAAAATTCCCAAAACCAGTGTCCCCGGCATCTAAGTTTAAAAAAAATGAAAGAGGAAAAGTGTGGGCCAAGTCTCTTCCTGCATGAGGAATAATTGCTCAATTTGTTTCATCTCTTGGAGATGCAACAGGAAGGGGGTGATATTAATCTAATTGAGAAAGCTGTTCTATATTCCAAATGCACTTTAACTGCTTCTGTAGATGGGAAAAGACAGAAAGACAAAATATTGATGAAGAAAAATGAATTTAAGAATAAAACATTTTCACATTTCAACTTAATCTCAAATTTTTTGACTCTCAGCAGCAACAAATAACTGGTGTGCGCACATTACATGGGGATAGGGTTTTGAACTAATTTCTGGTGGAAAAATGGTGGTGCATGCCGTACTTGATGGTGCGTGGTACTTGAGTAAATACGGTATCTGTAAAGTGCATAGAAATGTTGGCATTCTCTGCACAAATAACATTCAAGTGAAAAAGAGGGAAGGAAGTCCCTGTATGCTGTAGGTAATTTTTTTTAAACTAAGCTAAATGGATGGTAATTTGTTGAGAGAAAAGTCCAAGAACTTTTCATACATCAATTTTAGGTTTGGAAATATCTGTTTGGTGTAATTTGGCCTGAAATGTATTTGCAATTTTATCACAAAATGTCCCTATGTTGAGCCAGTGTCCTCACATTGAGTCTCTTTTATTAATTCCTTTTAAGGNAAATGTATTTGCAATTTTATCACAAAATGTCCCTATGTTGAGCCAGTGTCCTCACATTGAGTCTCTTTTATTAATTCCTTTTAAGGGAAAATAAGTCTCCCTATATCAAATTGTCTGCAGGTGAAGGTGTCTGCATGTGGGGGTCACTATCACTGTTTAGAAAGACAAGTTTAGGAATCAGCAAAATTTGAGCTAATCTGATGGCACCATTTTCTCCAGAAAATTGAAAAATCGCCTTCAATTGTACTGTACCTGTGGTGGCAATAGCGATAGCCGTAGCTCCTCAGGAACTCGTGGCAGGTCAGCCCACCAGCCATGCTTGTCAGCAAATCTTGGCAATTTTCTTCTGCAAAAAAAGAAAAGAAAGAGTGAGACGGTGAGAATAATTCATTCTCAAATTCAAAATGTTGGCATTTTAGTACCCCATGACATCAGATGAAGCACTGTTCCTGGGAGTGGAAAATTTCCACTTATTTTCTTGCAAAAAATTGAATTTTTTTTTATAAAAATCAGTACAAAATTTCAGAACCTTACAAAATCATGTGCTGTATAATAATTTATTTTTTTTCAAAGTCATACCTACTGAAGAAATAACCAAAGTCCCGCCGAAATGGGACAACCCTCGCATGTCCTTTAAATTAGGATTGAAATACTGTACTGTACGTAAACATGGATGCAGAAATTAGCGGATTAAAAAAACGAGACAAAGCATCCATTTTTTGTTCGCTCGAAAAAAAAAGGATATTGAAAAAAAGCATCAATTTGCGAGAAAGCACCTAAAGAGCACTTTTTCCGTTCACTCATTAAAAAAATTATAAATGAAATAATTATGATTATAAATTGAAAAAAATTCTGAATTTGCGAGAAAGCACCTTCGAAAGCACTTTTTTCTTTCGCTCATTATACAATTTTTTAAATGAAATAAATATACAGTATTAATAATTATAATCATAAATTGAAAAAAATATATCATTTTGCGAGAAAGCACCTTCAAGAGCACTTTTTTCGTTCACTCATTAAAAAATTATCAAATGAAATAATTATAATAAAAATTATCAAGTGAAATAATTATAATAAAAAATATCAAATGAAATAATAAAAATAAAAATTATAAAATGATATAATTATAATAAAAATTATAAAATGCAATAATTATAATAAAAATTATAAATGAAATAATAAAAATAAAAATTATAAAATGAAATAATTATACTTATAAATTGAAAAAAAATTAGCAATTTGCGAGAAAGCACCTTCAAGAGCAATTTTTTTTCGTTCACTCATCATAAAAAAAATTATAAAATGAAATAATTATAATAATAAATTTAAAAAACATATACAGTATATCATTTTGCGAGAAAGCACCTTCAAGATCATCGCCAACACCGTCTCCTCCCCTGCCAATATCACTGCTGCTCGACAGCGACGCACTCGACGTCGACGTCTTCACCGGCGACTTGGTGAAGCCGCCACCGCCGCCGCCGCCGACGACGGAACCGTCCAAGCGTCAGCGGGTTAGGCACAACCAGCGACCGCCGCCGGTTGCCCCGAAGAACCCGAGGTGTCCACGGCGGCGGCGTCTGCAGCAGTGCTGCCGCCGCCACTGCGATCACGAAAAGGTCCACATTCGTGTGGCGGCCCGGGACGCCGACCTCGGGGTCGTGTTGTCGCGTCGAGACTGCGACAGTGACAGGCCCGTCGTCGGGCTTTCTGCGTCGACGGCTCCGGCCGTCGCTGTTGTGGATTTCGTCTGTCTCGTCGACCACCACGGGATTCTGAAGTGTGTCACCGAAACAAAACAAAAAATGAAGAAGAAAAAAATCATTAATTACAAACAAATTCCAATTAAAAAGACAACAACGAAACTCAAATACTGCAATGATAAATTTCAACATTAGAAAGTGAAAACTACAGAAAATGGCCTTTTTTTACTTTTGAACGATTAAAGAAATGAGAAAAAGCAAATAATTTCAAAGTCTTCTGAGGTATTTGATACTTATTTTGAAACACACGTACTTCAAAAAAGAAATATTCTCAATTTTGACTTCTCACCAAAACAACAAAATCATTGATTAATCGAAATAATGCAGTAAAAAAATTTAAAATTCGAGAAGGAGTAACAGAATACAGTATAAATCTTTTTTTTATTTTTTTAACCATAAAAAAAGAAAAAGTAACAACAGTAACTCCAAAGAAAAGACTCACTAAGCGATGAACCGTGTCATTAAAGTTTTCATAGTTAAGTCTTTCTTTTGAGGTTTTTTAATACAGTATTTTAGTCTTATTAGGGTTCTTTTTTCCTCTGCAGAACCGTTTTTGTCAAGATAATTTCGACCCCTCGAAAAGAAAAAAAAAGATCACAAAAAAGAACAATCTCAAGAAAAAACTTTTTAGGCCCAATATTTAAAAAAGGAGAGGTGTTTGCAAAAGCAGCATAATGCTGAACAATAAAAAAGTAATCAACTTCAAAGTCTCCTTCATAAATTCCAAATATTTTTTGAAGCGCAGTACTTTCTAAAAAAAAGTGCTTGGAATTTCACACAATGAAAAACTGAAGCAACCGATCAAGCTTTATCAATGTTAAGTCATGAATTATTTTTTTCAGTTTACACAATAAAGTGAGACCCCCAGATGAGGACATAATTGGCCCATCAAGAGTGTCCACAAGTTGAGTCTTGTTTTCCCATAGACTCACATTATATAATTTTTAATTGGTGTTCTACGGAAGAAATACTCTCCAAAATTCCATGAAAAATGAAATTTGTTTGACACTTGAATTTGATTCATTGAATATCTTTTCAACCCATTAAGAAAATTTGGAGCATTGAATAGTATACCACTGTCCAGTTCATTGAAACATAGGCATCTGTAAAAATAACATCCAAGTCACAAAGAGAGAAGGCCCTCCGGGCTATAGGTGATTTTTTAAAATTAGCTGAATGGATGGGAAAAAGATGGGAAACGTACCAAAGAATTTTTCTTGCATAAATCTTAGGGTTGGAAATATCTGTTCCTTGCAATTAAGCCTAATAAAAGTCAATTATCCTAAGATTTATTGGCAATTTTATCATGCAATGTCCTCATGTTGAGTCAGTGACCATATGTCAGGCCATTTAACGTGGTTTTTTAGATTAATTTTTTAATCTACTATAATTATTTATGATATTTTTTTATTGAAAAATAAATGTCCCTATGTCGAGTTGTCCCCACGTCATGGTGTCCGCATGTTGGGGTCACACTGTAATCATCTTTAAAAATCAGGACAACCCCAAGGGAAAAACAAAATTTCGACAAAAAAAGAGCGTGTCGCATTCGAGTAAAAAGTACTGTTCTGCTATCGCATCTCTTTCTTTTTTTTTGTTTCTTCGCCGCCAGATAGATGACGCACCTCCGAGTGGTTCTGAAAGACACACTGGACTTCTCCTCCCTCGTCACCAGCACCGGCAACGTCGTCGTCGTCGTCGACGTCGATGCAGTAGTGACTTCAGCAGCCGTCGTGCTGAACGTGGTTCTCGCGCTGGAGCTCCGCCAATTGCTGCTCCACGGGGACTGGAACCGCTTGTTGTTGGCGGGCGGCGCCAGGGACGACCGTTCCACCTCCACGTCCGGCGCCCTGCTCGTGAACTTGGCGTTTTGCAGCGTGGACGCCGACGCGTGGAAACCCGGCAAGTCCCTGCCGGACACCCTGTCGATCCCGTCCAACGAGTCGCTCAGGTCGTTGAAGTCCGGAATGGCGTTCTCCTCCTCTGCCACGCATTTCCCGTTGACGCAAAACTGCGCGAGTTGTAAATAATCAAAATGAATGCATGCATGAGTAACGGATATTAGGACTCGGAATAACAAAGGTAGAAGTTGGTAACGCTATCCCCCTCCCCCCCCACAAATACAGGTGGTGCCCCTTAACCCTTGTGCAGTGAAGTCGGGATATATTCGCAAAATTTTGTGTCACTCAGAACTGGGAATTTAAAAAATGCAACTTTTGTACAAAGGCCTGAGTCGAGAAAAAGTCTAAAATTTTTTTCTAATCCAGCAGAAAATTTTGGATGAAAATTAAAAAAAAAACTCTCACTGGGTGGCATTTTTTCCTGCATTCCTGGTATAGGATTAACATGGAAGATTCCTGGAAACAAAAGAGATTTTGTCTCCTGGATTTTTCCCAACTTAGGCCTTCTCAACCTGGGAGCATTTCAGCAACCTTGGGTCAAACTGAAATGCTCCACCCCTCAAAAATATCCTGACTTTGCCTCACAATGGAAAGGAACCCTCCGCCATCTGAGGGTTAATTTGACCCTAATTCATTGCCCCCCAAGTGGGGAAATTGGTGCACACTGGGGATTTGTTTGTAATTCTACACAGTGACCCTGCTGTGCACCTGAGTGTAACCCTGGAATGGTAGCAAAATTTCCTCTACAGGAGTGCACACTTGTAACCCCAGAATATCCCATATGCACCAGTTGTGACCCTGGTGTGCACCTACTGCAGGGTCACAGCAAAAATAGCTCCCCACTTGGGGCGCGGGTAAGGGTTGAATTGCAAAGCGGTCAAATTGCGAGACAATGTCAAAGTTGATGTTTTTTCTACATTGAATTTGACATTTTGAGTCTCTCTGCAGGTCAAATTGCAGGGCAATAAAGAGGTTGAATTCCAAGTCAACACCCCAGTAAATTTGACCATCAAATTGCAGGATGTCAAATTGCATCTTCTCAGCATCTTTACAGCACAATTTTTTCTACAAAGATTTTTTATTCTGATCCCATAAGATTCTCTCCCCATGTTATAGGGGTTCTCTTCATCTTCAGAGCAAAGTTGTCTCTACAACAAAATTATTATTGGGTCCCATATAGTCCTCCCCCCCCCCCCCCACTACAACAAAATTATTTTTGGGTCCCATATAGTCCCCCCCCCCCCCCCCCCAATTTATAGGAGTTCTCAACATCTTTACAACCAAAGTCTCTGCAACATACATTGTTTTCTGTTCCCTTGAATTCTGTTATAAAGAGATTCCACCTGTAATTTGCATATGCCTTTATTCCATTAATTGGAGCATGTGTTGAAATAGTTAGCTTTGATTCAAGAATAGAAATTCCTGAAATGACTAGGGCAGCTTTAACCCAAAATGATTTCAGTTAACAGGGAGGATTAAATTGTTCAAAACTTAAGGGATTAACTTGAAACTTGAAATAGGGAGGTTCTATGATTTTGGGAGGACCAACTTGATTAGTTCCTTCTGCACCATGTTTGATTCACAACCATTTCCATGAAGGAATCATCAATTATTTCTAGAAGGTAAAGTATTACCATGTCACAAATATGGAAACCATGTTCAAGCAGGAAAGCGTACCAAATCTCCTGCCAATTTTTTCAATGCACTCTAACATTGCTGAATATGCAAACTTTGAAAACAAAACAAAAAAATAATCAAATTGGTGCACAAAAAAAGTAATTCAAGTATGGACTCTCATTGAAGAAAATCTCCACTAAATAAACAGAACCTTCACACAAAAAATTTTCTCATCTGCCTCAGAAACTTGCATCATCCTGAAACTTACTTTAAATTCATCTCGCAAAAAAAAAAAAAAACTTTCAAACCCTGCCTTCAATTTTCAATTCACAAAACCCAACAGAGAAATAATATTTTTGAAACACAATAAAACGGAATCAAAGTGACCTTTCCATCTCCACATGGTGAACCTTCAGCGGCGGGTCGGTACGACACGCAGTACCCGGATTTGGCATCAAAGCAGAACAACTGTGAGCACACTCTCTCGTCACTCTGCAAAACACGAAAAAAAAAAATTGGCACAAAAAAAAATTATAAAATAACCCGTCATCGATTAATCCACGTGCAACATCAGTGAGACCCCGAGATGTGGACATGATTGGTACTTGGACCCCGTCCCTATGTTGGAACACGTTTTCCCCATGGATTTCAAAAAAAAATTATAAAATAACCCGTCATCGATTAATCCACGTGCAACATCAGTGAGACCCCGAGATGTGGACATGATTGGTACTTGGACCCCGTCCCTATGTTGGAACACGTTTTCCCCATGGACTTCAATAAATGGAAAATTATTTAATTAGTTCTCCAGTTCATCAAAAATTAGGAAGGAATTCACCCAAAAATTTTATAAAATGTGTTTCTCAACTTATGCGTAAAGAAAATAACTATTCAGACAAAAACCACAAAGAATCTGATCTTTTGGCATCAAATAAGGACCCCAAAAAAGCAAAGAAAAATTAGCAGTCTTGCCAACCTGTGCACAGATGATGGAGAAAACTCAAAAAAGAAGCACAAAATTAACCCATTTTTGATTTTAAATTCGAGTAAATTAATAATAAAATTCATTTTCAATTTTTTTCTTATATACAATATAGGTAAATAGCTGAATTTTTTCATGAGGCATCCAAATTTAAAAAAATAAAAATGTTCAGTTTTTCTTGATACGGAGTGTTGGAGAAACTTCCATATAGTTCCCAGACGTTGTCGAGGTGTCGCGTCAGATTTTTTCGAAACTTCAAGTGCCCCCAAGTCGAATCGTCGCATACAGCCCCGGAGAGAGAGTATTTATTTATTTATTGGTTTACGTTATATATGTGCAGTTGAGTGTTTCGTCCGTCTTCACGGAGATAGGAAGGCTGTAACGCGTAGGTTTGAGTCGTTAAAGGGTGGCAAATATCTCGGCAAAGTTTCTTCTTCATGCGGAGTGTTGTACAAACAAGTTGCCGTATCCCCACTGCAAAAAAAAAACATATACAGTATAAATAAATAAAAAATAACCCGTCAAATTCATTTCCTGATCCAATGTTCCCCAACCTTTTTGGGCCTACAGACAGGAACATTTCCATAAAATTGTTCGGGTCCGGCAAATTTCCAAGAATTTTTTTGCCGGCTTGAAAAAGTTTTGTTCAAAATTCTTTAATGGCAGGTACTTAAAAAGTATCTAATTTTTTGCAAAAATTACGTCAAGAACCAGTGAAGCACCTATAGTGGAATGCTTTCAAAATGAAATTGAAACATAGGCTTGAAGGAATGTTTCTCAGAATAAAAAATGAAATAATTTTTTCCAGCATGCAAATGAAAATTAGCCTGAAGCGTTAATAACAGAAAATCCAACTGAATTCTTCATGGGATAATTTCAACTGCCATTGTCTTCCCAAAATTTCCGACAAAGATAACAGACTTCATTGCTACTTTTTATAAATTTATTATGCTGAAAAAAATAATTATCTGGGGACCAGCAAATTTCCAAAATGTTTTTGAAAACTTGAAAAAAGTTTTGTTCAGGAAGGTTTCTCAGAATAAAAAATGAAATAATTTATTTCAGCAGCAAATGAAAATTAGCCTGAAGCGTTAATAGGAGAAAATCAAAATTTCCAAAATGTTTTTGAAAACTTGAAAAAAGTTTTGTTCAGGAAGGTTTCTCAGAATAAAAAATGAAATAATTTATTTCAGCAGCAAATGAAAATTAGCCTGAAGCGTTAATAGGAGAAAATCTAACTTAATTCTTCATGGGACAATTTCAACTGCCATTGTCTTCCCAAATTTTCAGACAAAGATAACAAAACTTCATTGCTACTTTTGATAAATTTATGATGCTAAAGAAAATTTATTTTTTAAGGACTCAAAAATTATCAACATTTTTTGCAGACTGGAAAATGTTTTTTTTTCAAATACTTTATGGCAGGTATTTAAAAAGTACAGTATTCTTTTTTTTGCAAAAAATTGGCCAAGAGCCAGTGAAGCAGCTATAGTGGAATGCCTTCAAAATAAAATTGAAAATTGAGTTTGAAGGAAGGTTTCTCAGAATAAAAAATGAAATAAACTCTTTCAGCAGCAAATGAAAATTAGCCTGAAGCGTTAATCAGAGAAACTGCAACTTAATTCTTCATGGGATAATTTCAACTGCCATTGTCTTCCCAAAATTTCAGACAAAGATAACAAGACTTCATTCCTACTTTTGATAAATTTATTATGCTGAAAAAAATTTCCCACCAACCAGGCAAAAAAAAAAAAAAAGAAAACAAATTTTGCGGACCAGCACTGGTCCACATCAGACCACAGGTTTCAGAACACTGCAATACCTAACCCATCCCTCCCCCTCGTCCTTCTCCCAGTCAATAATAATGATGATGATGATGATGATAATCCAGACCCAAATAATTCTCAAAAAGAAAAACAAAACAAAACAAGTGAGGGGACCCCCAGCAGTTGTTCTTTTTTTTCTATTGTTGGGTTCTCATCAATTATTGGGAAATGATGACGTCGCGGGGGTTTAAAAAAAAAAACAAAACAAAAATGAAATGAAGTGAAAAAAATAAAAACTGACTGCAGGAAGTGATGGAATTGCTCAATGGAGCACGGGGACCATTGGAAGCCGGTTTCCGTGTGTCTCAAGTCACTCATGATGTAACCGTCTTCCCAGCGGCACTTGGTTGCTCCGGGTCCGCCCAAGTAACTCGGCGGCGGCGTCCCATCATGCACTGCTCCCAATCTGAATCAAATAAACAATTTAAAATGAATGAAAAAAAAATAAATGAAAGAAGAAAAAAGCGAGAGGAAGGAAACGAAAACAAAGACAAAAAATGTGCAGAGTCAGCGCGAAGCACAGTCTCGAAATCAACACACTTTAAAAAAATCACCACCGACGATGACAATCTTATTCCCTCACAAGCACGCGGGGATGAGAAAGAGAGAGAGAAAAAATAAATAAATAAGTTAGCTCCGGAATTTTGTTTTTTTGCATAATACAAGTAGGACCTCATCCTTACAAATAATTTAATTCCAATGATTGAATTTTATTCGAGTTTAACTTTAATTATTCGAACCTCTCCCAAGCCGGATTTTTATTTTCAAGTTCCGCCCCCATTTGAATTAAAGTGAGACCCCCCCAAGATGCAGAACATTGTCTTTCCAACATTTCAGACAAAGATAACAGACTTCATTCCTACTTTTGATAAATTTATTATGCTGAAGAAAAGTTATTTTTCGGGGACTCACAAATTCCCAACATGTTTTTGTAGACTTGAAAAAAGTTTTGTTCAAAATACTTTATGGCAGGTATTTAAAAGTATCTAATTTTCTTGCAGAAATTAAGAACCAGTGAAGCAGCTATGATGAAATGCTTTCAAAATAAAATGAAAAAGTTGATGTGTATGCAATTGGTGCATTAGGAGTGTCCTTGATGTCGGAATGTCCCTAAGTTGAGTCTCATTTTCCCTTAGACTTCAATGCTAAAGTATTTAATTGGTTCTCCTTTTTGTCAAAAATTAGAAATAAGTGCTCAAAAATGTAATGAAAATTGTTTCCTTCAACTTCAAGTTATTGTAAAGCGATTTTTATTTGAATTGGAGAAATTGTGACGCCTTCCGAGAAACTCACAAGTGGCTGATTTCGTGAGCTCAAAACAATTCATAGGTGGTCATCCTGAATGAAATATTTCGTCGGTAGATTCAAAAAATTCTAAATTATTTAAAATTGCAGCAGGAGAAAAACTCAGTTTTTTTCCATCGCTCATTTGATTGCACGCTAATCGATTTTGCACATCAACAAAATACTCTATATATACACACACACACAGTATATTTATTCAAATCGAAAAAAAAACCGTGACGATTTCCGAGAAAACTCACAAGTGGCCGATTTCGTGAGCTGCAACAATGATGCCGGAAAAGCCTCCAGTGTCCTCGACGATGGCAACGCTGTTGACCTTCTCCAGCCTCTTGTTCACCACACAAGCACCTCCAACGTATGCGAAGCCTGACCAAAGAAGAAGAAAAAAATAAATAAACAAGAAAAAAATGAGTTTAAAAAATACACATCTTTCTCTTCATTTCAAAATACACAAAGAATGAATACTGTACATAAACAAGTACACAGGGTGGACCAGAAAAATTGTGAACCGATTTTGAATTACAATATCTTGACAGAAACTTGTGCTACAGTGAAAAAAATTATCAACCAATTGAAAGCTTGTTCAATTTTCTTTCAAATTATATTGAGTTTTATGGTGACATGGACAAAAATTCTTTTGAATGATAACTCTTTAAATAATGAATTTGTCATGCGAATTCTTTCGTGGAAAGCGTTCATTCAAAAGGATCTTTTTCACATTGAATGAAAAATTTCAAAACATAAATTTGTCTAAAAATAATAGGATTTGCCTAGTTAGATTGTATCTAATAAAATAAATAGTAGGATTTGTTACAGTGCCTGACAAAGTTGCCAGAAAAACATTTTTGGGAAAGTTTTCACACAAAAAGATTTTTTTTTTCACATTGAATGAAAACTTTCAAAAAATATTCGTCTAAAAATAATAGGATTTGTTTACTTAGATTGTATCTAATAAAATAAATAATAGGATTTTTTACAGCGCATGACAAAGTTGCCAGAAAAAATGTTTTTGGGAAAGTTTTCGCCAAAAGGATTTTTTTTTTACATGGAATGAAAACTTTAAAAAAATGAATCTGTCTAATACTTAAATAATAGGATTTGTCTAGTGAGATATTGTCTAATGAATTATATACTGTACAGGTGGTGCCTCACAATTTGACCTCCAGCAATTAGACCATCCTGCAATGCAACAGTTGAATTTGCTGGGAGGTTGACTCTCAATTTGACCTCTGACCAGGAGTTTGACCAGTGGAGAGACATGAAATGTCAAATGCCATGTAGAAAACATGCTAATTGACATTGTTTCACAATTTGACTGCTTTGCAATTTGACCCTAGTCCAGCAACAGATTAGGGTTGAAATGCAAGGTACCACCTGTAATACAATTTTTGTTTTTACATTGCATGAAAACTTTCAAAAAATAAACCTGCCTAACTACTTAAATAATATGATTTGTTCAGTCAGACATTGTCTAATAAATTATATACCGTACAGGTAGTGTCTTGCAATTCAACCTCCTGCAATTAGACCATCCCGCAATGCAACTGTTGAATTTTCTGGGAGGTTGACTCTCAAGTTTACCTCTGCCCAGCAATTTGACCAGTGGAGAGACATGAAATCTCAAATGCCATGTAGAAAACACGCTAAATGACATTGTCTAACAATTTGACTGCTTTGCAATTTGACCCTAGTCCAGCAACAGATTAGGGTTGAAATGCAAGGTACCACCTGTAATATAATCTTTCTTTTTACATTGAATGAAAACTTTCAAAAAATTAAATTTGTCTAATACTGTACATAAATAATAGGATTTGTCTAGTTTGATAATGCCTAATAAATTATACACCGTACAGGTGGTGCCTCACAATTGAACCTCTGCCCTGCAATACAATCAGTGGAGAGACATGAAATGTCAAATGCCATGTAGAAAAAATGTCATTTGACATTGTCTCACAATTTGACCCTAGTCCAGCAACAGATTAGGGTTGAAATGCAAGGTACCACCTGTAATATAATTTTTCTTTTTACATTGCATGAAAACTTTCAAAAAATAAATTTTTGTCAGGCAACTTTTTTCGCGGAAAGTTTTCATTCAAAATGATTTTTGACAATGCCATGACACTTGTGACCAAGAAACCAAATATAATTTGAAAGAAAATTCAACAAGCTTTCATTTGGTTGTTGTTTTTTTTTAATGTCACTGTACTTCAAGTTTCTGTCAAGATACTGTAATTCAAAAATCGGTTCACTTTTTTTTTGTTGCCCATCCTTCATATTCACAAAAGAAGGTATTTTTCCGTTCGTGTGTGTGTGTGTGTGACAACTGAGCGACCGGAAGCTCGGATGTTAAGCGGATTTGAGAATTATTTGCCCCGCAGAGACGCCGAGTTGTCTGCCAGAGAAGGCAAATGCTCACCACTCACACCTTCTGACCTTCACCAGGCCCCTTTTTATTCAAATGTTTCCATTCAAACGCAATTTACAAAAGGAAGCAGCAGGGGTAAAGGCTGGTTGGTTAATACAGGTATGGAGAAAAGAAAAAAGAAAAAAAAAAACCCTGGGTTCTCGTTTCAAGGGGAACCAACATCCGCAAAATCATCGCCCACCGAGTTCTTCCCTCCTTCTCCACCCGAAAAATCCTTTTTTTTAAAAATCTTGTCCCCACAATTTTGGATGCAATTTAAAACGTGAAACATCCGACGCAATCAAAGACAAAATAAATAAAAAATATCCTTCTATAATTTGGCCGCAATGTTTGCAATGAGATGTTCCTCACTATTCGTCACTGGACAATTTGTCAGGTGAGGTTTTCTAATTGCAGAAGAGGTTCAAATACCGTCTCTAAATTTAAATTCGCTTCGAATATAATTTTGAATGTGAACAAGACCCACTAAAAACTCGCCACATATTTTCGAAAGAAAATCCATTTCGAAACGACAGAAGATATCGACGAATTCTTCAATAAAATAAAATGTAAAAAAAAAACGCCTCATTACCCGAAGCTTCCAAATAATCCCTTAGAACACCGGCGAATTTCTCAAATTTTACGAAATATGCCCCACAAATTGAAAAACACTTTTTGATATCATTTGGTCGACAAGACGTTTTATCGACACCCAGCGAAATGGAAAAATACAGAGAGACTGGAAATTACAAGAAAAAGACCACCTAGTAGTAAGATATGCAAATCTTGGCGTGGGAAACTGGCAGCAATAAAACACTCGCATGTTTATCTTGAGTCCAAAATAAAGTTTAAAAAAAGAAGAAAAAAAAACAGCAAGTGGAAAGGCAATTGAAAACACAAACGTTACACCCTGCGTTTCAAGCCGCACCTCCGCGTGTCACTCAAATCCCAAGGAATAATAATTTAAGGAATGGCAGAAAAAA